TGCCAAGAAGATGACCCCTCACACCAAACTCAGAAATGCAGCCCTTAACCCCACCAAACCAGTGACCAAAAACTCAGAAATGAGTAAACTTCCAACCACCCATGGCTAGAGCACACTCATACAAGGAACTTTGGTGAAGGAAGTAAGGGAAAATGTGGGAACTTGGGCTAGAAAATGGAGAAAAGCTCCACCCTTGCAATGGAGGTGAAGGTGGCAGCCAAGGGGTTCAGAATCTCACATAGAAGGAATGCAAATTCTGACCTAGAGCTTTGTGCTCAAGTATATATTGTCCACTTAAGATTAATCGCACAGTATTAGCAATAATAGCTACGCTTATCATTTTAATTTCAAACTTCATATTCTGAACCTAGCCATTTTTCTAGGATTTGTCATATTTTTATATTAATTTTTCGCAACACTTTTTCGGTACGCGTTTTAACACTGACAGTATTAGTTCCGACATAAATTCTCATTATTTTGACTTCAAACTTGTTTTACAAGTCCTATATATTGTTCTAGGAATATTCATGCACTTATTATAATTTTTCGGGATACTTCACCGATACGCATTATACTGAGTAGCAGAACCGGTATCTGCACTTTTCGTCAGAAAAGCGACTTTCAGCATTATTAATCACTTTCTATATTTATTTAAGCCTCATAATAATTATTAGGGTCAATTATGGAATTATTTCCTAATTTCACATAGTTAATTAATTAACTTTCTTAATTAACGGTGCGGGTTCTTACACAACCCAGGAACTTTACTTGCAGCCGCCTCAAAATTGGATTGATAATCCCCTACAGACCCAAACTGTTGTAATTTAGCCAGAGCACCAATTGGTTCCTCAAACTCCGAAGGACCAAAACGTCTATGAATAGCCGTGACAAACTCAGACCAAGTAGGTAACAAACCTTCATCACTAAGACCCCGGAACCAACAAGCGGCTGGGTCATCCAAATGAAATGAAACAATTAACAGACGATCCTCATCACCAATATTAATTTGTCCACAGCAAATAGCCAAGACCTGGGGTCACCAGCAACAAAACGTGGAAAGAGTAGCTTAATAGAAAGAGGTTTTACCAGATTTGGGTTAGAAGACGTAGTTTTGGACGAAGACCCTGGGCCAGAACCCAATATTCCAGAACAGGGATTGTTATCAAGTAACCGTTGAATGGAGAGCTGTATTTGTGCCTGAGATTCATGGAGTTGATCGTGCGACTCTTGGAAACCCAGAAATTGTTGTTCCCGAACCAGTTCAGCAGAACGAAGTTGTTGTTCCAACAGATCCATGCGGTGGGTTTGCCCTTCCAGAATTTCGAGACGCTGAGTGACATCACGCATAAGAGTGTTATCGGCCATGATTAAGGAGGATGAATAAGCAACGAGAGCACCAAATTGTAGCAGTAATTTCCAGAATAGATTGAGAAGGGAATCAGAAGAGAAGATTAGAGGTAGAAAGAGAAGTAGAAATTAGAGAGAGAAGTTGTGAAATCTTTTCATACCCTATTTCATTAGCAATATTACTATATATGGCCTTAACGGTTTGGGCCTGACCCTGATTACATGCTTACTGAATAATAAAAGAATAATAAAAGACATTTATTATACTACAGCCTTTAAGTGGTTTCATAATCTTGCAAGTACTTGGGCTGCTTACGGGCTCGTGTCTCATGTGGGGTTATCATATTAATTGGGCCTGTTATATCATTACACCAAATACATGAAAATGGGTATTGTTTGGACCATTTCCCAACTCTCTCTCTCTCCCCCGTCACTTGACATGCATTATGCATTTTCACTCCATCACTATCTCTTTAACTTTCATCCACTGCACATAACTACCCACTAAGTACATTATTACAACACTAGTTACCTGCAAAACAAACCCCTATGTGCACAACCTCCCTAGCAGTTACACTACATCTATATATGACCTTGAACAAACGAAGAGATGAGCTCTCTTTTTTTGTATACTAAAGTTTAGATGAGGTTAAACACCAGTGTCCCACTAAGGATAGGTCAGACCCCCTAACTTCTTAGGGGATGTTTGGTACGAGTTTTTTTGCTTGAATGCTGGGAAAGTAGGTGGCGGAAATTTTTTCCCATATTTGGTATGGGAAAAATAAAAAATAATCCAGGAAAATTTTATCCCCATAATTTTATTTTTAACTACATATTCCTAAAAAATAATACTAAATCAACCATGGTTTTTTTCCTATGTACTCGGAATCGTACAACAAAGTTTGGAGACAAAATTGCCCTAATTCAACAGTATATCTATCTCAGGAGATGTGTAAAACCTTGTTCTTTAAACCCTTGTACAACCTTCTTCTTCGACTTCGTCAAGGAAGCCATCCATTCTCCATTATTGTAGATTCAATGAAAATGGTGGACAAACCAAATGTTTTCTCAAAGCTCATTTGTGAAATTAGCATTGACCTCTCATACTCATCATAATTTGCAAGAAAAAAAAAACCATAAGAACATTCCTCATTGAAGATTCTGATGTGTGTTTAAGTAAACCAGGCTAACAAAATTAACTGTGCTTACTTTCAATCTCCCTGAGGTTAAAAATGGCAGAATCAAGCTCTTCCCTATTTGCATCTCTATAAAACTCTGAGACATAGGTAATTTTGTAAAACGAATGTTTAAAACAAATATTCAAACACATCGATAATTTTGTAATTTTAGTCCTGATTCTCACGAATATTTTACAATCAACCAAATATAGCATTATAAAAATAAGTAAAAAATTTGGCCTACCAAATATATTTTCGTAATTTGCCCCGAAAAAAAAAATTCCCACTATGTTTCCGGTAATTTTTTTCGATAAAAAAATATCTCAGTTACCAAACGCCCCTTAAGAAGATTTATATTACCTGTCAACAAAGTCCATACATCTGCCAACGAAATTCGATTATTGTCAGATTGTTAGCTGATAAATGATCATGATTAGTAGACATGTCTACCATGCATCACGGGGAACAAGAAAAGTGATTCGAGAGCGTTGTTTTAAAAATCGGATCGGCCGAGTCGACCCGGGTCTCAGTGACTCGGGGGGTTTTCCGGTCCGAGCGATCATTTAGACTGGTTCTGCAGTCAACTCGGTTTGGACCGGTTGACCCGGGTTAGATCGATTGACCCTCTTTTTCTTTCTTTTTTGTAAATATTTTTTGTTGTTGCTATGAACTCTTGAATTAAATCAATTCATATTTTGTGGTAAATATGATTAAAAAATAAGGTGAAAATAAGAAGGTATTTTGGATTAGTGCAGTTCGTTTATGTAATTTAGTTGTATCTTATAATGATCTAAAGAAGTTAAGTGGGGATAAACACTGATGGTCTCATATCAACGGTAGAAACTTTCTCCTTAGTATATATTTCATGCCTACTATTTGTTATAATGATTTAGTTTATCTGTGTTATGTCAAGGCACAAAAGGTACATTTAGTTTACATTACAATTTTAATCCAATGTTAGGATATGGTCTACAACTAGAAGCCTAGAAATATATAATATTTGCTATCACTGAGAATCAATTTATGTTTTGAAGCTCATTGGAAGTTTTCTTATGTGAATTTTTAATATAAATAATATGTTTATATTTTTTTAACATATGAATAGTAAATCTGGTTGAACCCAGTTAAAGCAGTGAACCAATATCTCGACGGAGTCTATTTCTCATTCAAAGATCATCATTTTTGTTGTGTTTTGATCCAACGACGTGCATTTTTCTAACTCAGCAACAGCCCTTAAACATGTGATGTGAGTGGGGGACCAAGCGTGTAAATTTCTTTACGATGTAATGTGGAAATGGGTTCTTTTTCTGTTTTTCAATACTGAAATGATGATGACATTGAAGGTTGTTGGAAGAAATATTCTCTTTTTCACTTCATTCTTCCTTTTTCTACCATTGCTTCCGCCTTGAATTTCCTGACTTAGATTCTTGGACTGTTAGTTCCTCTTTTAGGCCCCTTTCCTTTTCTGCATAAAAATCAGCCACGCAATCATCCCATGTAAATAAGTTACTTTTTGTTATATTTAATAAATAATGTATTAAGGGTTTCGTATGTCCATAACAATAAAAAACATTTCCCAAAAGAGAGTGCATCAACCCTCATCATATCAGAATCCCATTTAGAGTGCATAAAACGAGTAGATTTTTTTCGTACAATAAAAAGAAGGATATAAAAAAAATAACTATAAAGATAACGTAATGTAAATATATTTCTTTCTTTCATATTTAATAAAGAATATATCAAATGATCGGTGCGAGAACTGAAAATATTTTCATATAAAACATGAAACATATCTTAAGACATTTATATCTAAAGTCACCTAAAATCAAGTAAGTTACTTAATATTTCACCAAAATTTAACATAAAAACAAACAGTTAAATATCTTAAAAAAGAGATTTATCAAATACCCTTTCTTTATCAAATAAACTTTCGTATTACTTTGTGTAGTTGGAAACTGCTTATGAAATTATTTTAAGGGTTTGATCTTTATTTTTTAAAAGATATAAAATGGGATAGGATATTGTTACGATCAAATAATATTAACATCAATATTATTATTATATCTTAACCGTTGATTTTTGTCAATTAACGATCATTATTTATTGCGAATTAATAATTAATGAGTTTAGTTTGTGAAAATAATAACCGTTGATTAGCGAAAATCAACTGTTAAGATATAATAGTAATTTTGGTAGTAACATTATTTAGTAATAACAATATCCTATCCAACATAAAATTTTGTCCTTATAAATTAGAGAAAAAAATTCAAAATAAAAATAATGAAAAAAGAAAAAATGTGATTTTTTTAATTTAAATAAAAAAATATTAGCTTTAAGTATAACACAAATAAACATTTTTTTTCTTATTTTAATCGAACAAATGGTGCGAGCTACGACACGCGCAAGAGAAAGGGGGCAAAAGAAAACTTGTTTCCAACTTCGAAGTAGCGGGTTTATGTTCATCGTCTACCGTTGAACAGAACAAAACCAAATACGAGAGAGAATGAAGATAGTGAGTTACAACGTGAATGGCCTGAGACAGCGCATAGCGCAGTTCGGTTCTCTTCGGAATCTGCTAAATTCATTCGATGCTGACATCATTTGCTTTCAGGTGTTGCCAAATTCACTCTCTGTGTGTGTGTGTGTGTGTGTGTTTCTGAATCATTACATTGACATCTTCAGGAGACAAAACTGAGGAGGCAAGAAGTAACAGCGGATTTGGTGATGGCAGATGGATACGAATCATTCTTTTCGTGCACACGCACCTCCGAGAAGGGCCGAACCGGTTATTCCGGTAAGGTGTTTGTTTTATTGCCTCAACCACAACATCAAGTTCGTTTTGGGCAGCAAAGGTCATCAATTTTAAAAGACATCTTTATAATAATCGTGTGTTCCTTGCTTTGTGTCAGTTGAGAATATAAATTATCATTTGGCGAAAAATTGTGTCAAGATAAACAACTACTTTTGCTGGAGAAGAGTTATTATGCTTTTGACCTAACTGGTTGCTTCTAATGGAAATGAAAGCTTTATACCTTATTCTTAAGCAATAAATTATGTTGAGTGTGCAGGTGTTATTACATTTTGTCGTGTGAAGTCAGCATTTTCGAGTAAGGAAGTGGCCTTGCCCCTGGCAGCAGAGGAAGGTTTCACTGGTCTTATGGGATGCTCTCAAACTAGCAAAGACAATTTTCCTTCCTTCATGGAAGATCTTGAGGAATTTTCAAAAGATGAGCTTCTCAGTGTTGATAGTGAGGGTCGATGCATTGTCACGGATCACAGTCACTTTGGTGAGTGTCCTGTGTATATGCCTATTATCAATATATATCATGTAAAAGGAAACAATTTGAAAGCTTCTCCCATGTTTACTGAGTTCCCATTTTTGCATGATGGAGTGAGGCAACATAAAAGTTTGTGAGTGTGACTAGAAAGAATGATGTATATTTATTTAGGAATTAGTCATCATCCTTAGTGTCTTTTTTTCTTCTTTTAAAAAAACTAAGGTTGTTTTGACATAGTTGTGTTTGCATTTGTCCAGTTCTTTTCAATATATATGGGCCTCGAGCTGGTAATGATGACACAGAGAGGATTCAGTTTAAGCAAAATTTTTACAGGATATTACAGGTATTTAAAATATTTAGATGGTAAGGGAACCAATGAATGATATGACCAAAAATCATTGCTTTGCAGAATTTTTTCCATGCTTCAAACTGGGGCTTTTGTTCTTATGTGGATCTTGGCAGATATCTTATACGTTAGTTGCTAGTGTGTTATAGGGTAACTATAGTAATTATGAGACAAGTTGATACTTTGGAGCCAGAGCAAAGAGATTCACCAAAATTCTCAATCTTGATGTAGTTTGCATTGGTGTGTGATGTCCAATTGTATCATTACTGAAAACTGTTTGTTCATCAGGATAGGTTCAGCGTTTAGGAAACTCTAAAGCTAGTATTATTGTTATTTCTTTTGTGTTTTCCTGTAAATCAGTGTGAGTCAATGAACATAAAATTGTCAAATTCAGGAAATTCTATTTATTTTTCAAAAGTTGGGATATGCATAGTTTATGCTAAGTGCTCATCTTTGGCGCCTCTGTTCTTTTGTTTTGAAGAGCAGAAAATATTCACTTTTATTTTGTTTATCTTGTTCTGTTTGATTGATGTTGATAGTCTCTTTAATAGAAAAGATGGGAGTCTCTCCTGCATCAGGGAAGGAGAATATTTGTTGTTGGTGATCTCAATATCGCACCATTTGCAATTGATCGATGTGATGCAGGACCTGATTTTGACAATAATGAGTGAGCTGTCTACCCAATTTCTGTGAAATATTTTTATTGTCTAATATGCTGATAATAATGAGTGAGTTGTTCTTTTATGACTGAAAGGTCATGGGTTCGAATCTAGGAAATAGCCTCTTTGTAATTATGCAAGGGTAAGGCTGCGTACAAGGATTACCTCCACCTCACACTCTCTAGTCGGGTTTAACGGGGAGTGGTTTTTTTTTTTTAAATGCTGATAATTAGCTTAAGTCTGCTTGATTTCTTGTGTAGGTTTAGAAGATGGTTCAAATCAATATTACTTGTAAATGGAGGCCAATTTTTCGATGTCTTCAGAGCAAAGCATCCTGATAAGTATGGTACTCGAGTTACCTGTTTTGTTTAATATCAAATATTGATGTGCAGTATCCCCTTGGAAATTTAATTCCTGATTCTGTATTGCCTTCACAAAAAGTGGAGAATGTTTTAACTCTCTCGTTTGTGAATTTTTTTTATCTCATCATCTTTTTTTTGGTATAATGTCATATTATTATGGGACTATGTTACTTTCAAATTGAAATCTCCTTTCCAAATTTTTAGATTCAGATTATAAAAATGAATTATGCTTTAGCTTCAATATTACTTTTAGTCTGTATGCTGACACATTTCTTGAGGGAAGCTAGTAAAACAAGGCTTAATAGAGTGGGATATAGATTGACAGACGGTGTGTCTTAGGACGAAATGGAGAAAAACTATTAGCATAGTGGATGGTTAGACCCGTTGTTATTCCTATACTCCAGATTGTCCCTTTTTAGTCCTTTTCCTCTTCATTTCCCCCCTCCCCCCCCTCTTCTTTTCCCCTTCTTTTCCTTTATCTCTTTTCCCCTTCCCCATCTTTTTTTATTTTTATTTATTTTATTTATTTTTTACACCCCTTTTTTACTTTTATTTTTATATATATTATTATTATTATTTTTATTTTTTTTATTTTTATTTTTATCCCTTTGTACCTTTCATTTGGGTTCATCTACCACCGACCCCAATTAGTTTGGGATAAAGGTGTTGTTGATATTGATGTTGATGCTGACACATTTTTGTGTGCATATGGCTAGTATTTTATGCATCATCCTCCATATTTTTCTTTCTTCCTATCTTTTCTTTTCAAATGTTAATATTTATGTTTTCAACATATAGTGGTTAAGTCTTCAATGTTATCAGTATCAATATTGTTTAGTCATATTTGTACATATTGAGATTTTATGCAGAAGGGAAGCATACACCTGTTGGCCGCAAAATACAGGTGCTGAAGTATTTAACTTTGGGAGCAGAATTGACCATATTCTGTGCGCAGGTTCATGCTTACATGAATCAGATGACCTGCAATGCCATAGTTTTATAAGATGCCATGTTAAGGAATGTGACATTTTGACACAGTACAAACGGTGTAAACCTGAAAGCACACTGAGGTAAGATGCAAGCATTGCATGTGGATTATACTGTAAGCTATTTTGTCTATGAATCCTGGATGGATGATATTTTTTTTGTTAGATAATTGGTTATACCATAACTTGCCCGTTTTGGATTATCTCATTTTACATTACACATTTATGGAATTTGCAAAGATCGTCTCTCTACTTTCAGAATTTGTTGTTTTTACAGTTTTTCCTCTGTATTGTTAAATAAACACATATTTGTAATTTTCTTTTCCACTCCTAGTGAGGTTCTTCACCAGTACTGTGTCAAATGGTTCAAGATTTGCGTACATCTATGCTGCATGTCTTTCTGAGGCTAGGATATAACATAAGTTTTAACTTGGACTTTATAATATGCTTAGGGCCCACAGGTGGAAAGGAGGGCGGAGCATCAAATTGGAAGGATCTGATCATGCTCCAGTTTTTACGACTTTGCTAGAAATTCCTGAGGTCTCTCTGCATAGTACTCCCTCCTTATCTGCTAGATATGTTCCCATGGTTCATGGCATACAGCAAACTTTAGGTACATAACATTGTTTCTTCTTTGGATGACAATTTTTGCACATACTATATTAATGTTTATTTGTTTCTGAACCTTTTCTTCCAGTGTCAGTGTTGATGAAAAGACGAGTTTCTGAACAAATGAAATCATGCAAAATGGCCCATGAAGATATTTCAATGGGTAGTACTTGTGAGAGAGTATTAGAACCGGTTGACAAAGCTGGTTCTTCTGCCACAGGTCCCAGTGAATGTCATTTTTCTCCAAGCCAGGGTTCTGAAGGTAGCTTTCTGGAATCAAATGAACTTTCCAAAGGTTCTTCTCAGGAGACTGTTGCTAAATCAGGAAATGAATATTTATATGAAAAACCAATAACCAGGCAATGTAATGAATCCAAGAAAAAAGCTAGAAACAGTCAATGGTCTCAGCTCTCACTTAGGTCATTTTTCCAGAAAAGTACAAATCTTGACAATGGTGTCAATGACTCTTGTGCTAATTACTCAAATAATCAGGCAGAATGCTCACAACCCGACCCTCACTTACACAAGACTCCTGCAGTGTTTGATCATAGTGGCACCAAGCAATATGAGTTGGATACTGATGCCTGCGATCAGGATTTTGCTGAACTAAATGATAGTTCTACAAAGGAGGAAAAGAGTAATGTGGCCTCCCTGGAATGGCAAAGAATACAACAATTGATGCAGAACAGTATACCTCTTTGTAAGGGCCATAAGGAACCTTGTATTGCTCGGGTGGTGAAGAAACAAGGACCTAATTTTGGTCGCAGATTCTATGTTTGTGCTCGTGCTGAGGTAATCTTTTCTATTGAGTGGTTTTGTGCATTGTGTTTCCAATTCTTTGAAAATTATTCTCATGCACTACACTATGATTCTTCTGAGGACATGGCCCATCTTCTCATATCCAAAAATATTGAACCTTGCAACTATGAGGGTGGCGAAATTCATAGTTTGAACTTAATATACTTGGCTATCTTTTTTATTTGGTGCGCATATACTATGTCCATCAAGCATTTCTTACTTTCATAAAAAGGTTATGAAGTCCATTAGGGTGCATTATCTTTTAACCCTTAGAAAGTGGGCTAAATACATAATAGTCTTTACATCAATTTTGCTCTAGTTGCTCTTCACAGGAATTTAGTCACTTGATAAAATTAGAGCAATGTCACACCACTAATTTTCTCATTAGGGCAACTTTGTTCTCTCTAGTTCCAATTAGAGCGATGTTGCTCATTTAGTTATTTGATCAAAGCAATTAAGGGCAATACTTATATAGTTAATTCTGTTTGCAAGGGTTAACAGAGGTGTTGAGTAAAGCAGTTAACGACTCTAGTTTTTCTAATTGTTTGGTACATTATTAACTACAGCAGTTAGCTTTGCTCAAGTTAGTGAAACATAGTATATAGATTAATTATAGATTAATTATTTTCTCAAATAATTAGATGGAACCACTGTTCTAATAGAAACTACTGGGACTAGAAAAGACTATAAGTGCAATGGAGCTATATATTCTATTTATATAGGGTGAGCTGTGAGCATCTGTTGACACTGTTATGAGAAGAGTAAAACCTTATTTTAATCCCTAAAAGATAAATTTTATCAATTTAGTCCCTTTAAACTGAAAATCCCCCAAAATTTCATCCCTCGATCCATTTAAGGATTAACGGTGTTAGATTCTAACTTGCGTTCACCTTTACCAATCACCCATTTTGGGATTAAGGATTACTGCAGTGGGAGATGAATTGTTGGTTCATCCATGTCACCTGCAATGACATGGCATTGATTACCTCAATGCCATTGTCAATGGAATCTAATTCTGCAACCTCTTGTCTCCACCTGATTCCCCAAACACTTTAAGAAATTATTCACCTTTGATTTTAGAAAGTCAGTTACAGCAGCCATTCCACCCAGATCATGGTCGATCACGTCACCTGAGTTTGAAAACACCTTCTAGATTAGATGGTCTCACTCACCTATTCATTAAAGTTTGAACGCACCATTGTATCTGTGATGAGTTTAGAGTGTCCATAAGGTTGAGGATTGCAAAAATGAATGCTAGATGCCCCCAATTGTCACTTTAGTATGGACTCTGATGATGCTTTAGAATGGGAATTTGATGGGGAGGAGAATGTAAATAGATCAGTTAAAAAGTAACCTTTGACAAAGAGAAAGAAAATGTCAGGCTATTGATGCCCAAAGGGAAGATTCAAGGAGTGATGGAGAAGGAGGTTTACCTGGTTTATGTGATGCAAAATATTGTAGTGATTTTAATGTAAAAATTCCCTTTGATCCAATTCCAATTGAATAAGTGTGCTTTGGTTTGTTTTGTCATTGAAAAGATGTGGGGTGCTGATGGGAAACCATGGCTCACTGCTCAGGGGTTGAGGGAGGCTCATGGGTTCTGCTGATATGTGTGGGTGGGGGAAAAGGCTGGAAGTGAAAGGTGGGGTAAGGAGAAGACTAGGGATAATTGTGAAAGTAGGCTGGTTGATTAGAAGCTTACACCTTTAATCTTTAAACGGATGGAGGGATGAAAAGATTGAGAAATTTAAGTTTTAGAGACTAAATTTTTGAAAGAGCATAACTTTTGGGGACCAAAATAAGGTTTTACTCTTGTTAGAAATATATAAAACCATTAATGTAGCCTCATCCAATAGTTTAAGTTTTTGGGTTGAATTGGTTCTTTATATGGTATCAAAGCTTCGGTATCCCGGTTTCGATCCTTACCTTCCCTCATTTTCTTTGTGGAATTTCTTAGCATAGGTAGGCTGGACCTGATGCATCATCCACTTTTCAAGCCCAATGGGTGGCTCTCTTGTGAGGGAGCGTGTTAGATATATAATTATATATAAAACCATTAATGTAGCTTCACCCAGTAGCTTAAGCTTTTGGGTTTAATTGGTTTTTTACAACTCTTATAAGGAGTAGCACACTTGCACCACCTCATAACTTACTAGAAAAGTAATAAGCCGCTTATCACTTAAGGGAGGGATTGGGTTCTAATGAGCTATCTTTGAGCATGTCATGTGTCCGCCTTGAGTTATAATATAGTCATAGCTGCTGGTGGGTTAAATCATATTCTGTTTGAAACCTTGTCTCTTTTTGGTCTGTCATTTCATAATTTGTTTATCACCCCGTGCAGTAGGCGGTGAATATTAACATGTTTTTCTCCTTACAGGGACCTGCATCTAATCCTGAAGCAAACTGTGGTTACTTTAAATGGGCTGCTTCGAAATCGTCGAAATCTAGAAATAAATAATGGTGGCGAATGACATTTTAATCAAAGCATGACTCATTGTCCACTTCATCCATGTTCCTTGTATAGTGACAACCTGGAGCTGACATCCCAGTTTTGCATGATTCTAAAAGTTACTAACTTCCTTTTTGAAGGAACTGCCTCTCGTAATCTTTTTGTCCCCCCTTTTGACTACATCCTTGTAGCTTCTTGCTACAATCGTCGATATTCTGAGTTACAGGCATAATCACCTGTTGCCTCCGTGTAAGTAAATTAGTATCATGTTTCTCCACAGAGGAGAATAATTAAGGGGTAGGCTCGAGGAATTGGTTAAACAATTAGTCCTGGTGTAAATGATCCATCTCAGCATCTGACCTGGTTGGATCCTATCAGTCTACCACTCTCCAACACCAAATTGAGTCGACTTGGCAACCATTCCGGCATTTATTTACTGAAGTTTCTGTTTAACATCATTACCAGCAACATGTTTGCTCTGAAAAGTGTTCCATCAAGATAAGTGTGAGTTCTACTTGAATGCAAGCTCAAGTTCCACCCTTACCTTATTTTCTTTCTGCTAAAAGCTTTAATACCATAAGGGGAAAATGGCCACTGGAAGTGGCAGAATTTTGTCAATTATCAGGGTCTGCATGCACAGATGAATAACGCAGTCATATTATCGTGGTACACTTTCTTTTATTTCGGTTTTAGTATTAATAATGTTTGGGTATCTTTGAACTCAGTTCCTCATTAGCGTATGATTTTGGGTTTGGACGGGTTTTATTTGCTGATAAGGAAAACTCATTATTGAGAAAAATAGCATTTTAAGTGTTTAGTAGTCTTGGGCATTCAATTTTAAATTTTTTTAAAGTTTTATCTGATTTTGTATATATAGCTAGAAAATAAACATATTTACATATGTTATCAAAAAAAAAAAAAAACATATTTACATATAATTTTGTATACTATGTAATTTACGAATTTTTAATAACAATAACAATTAATATTGTGTGTTTATTTGACAACATAAACAATAATGTGTTAATGAGTAATTATATATATATATAGTTAGTTAGTTAGTTATAAATTATTTTGAAATTAGAAAGGATGAATGAATTGATAATTTTTTTTTAAAAAAAAAAAGCATTATACTTAGCGACTAATAAAAAGAAATGGTCAGGTTTGTTACTAGGCATATTAGATTTCTGTAGATACAAAAGGGTATTTATATAAAATGGATATTTTATTTGAATAATAGGTGGAGTTTATGGTTATCTCATCAATGTAATAAACATGGACATTGTTCATCGATTCTGTTGGATCAGATGACTCGAAAATATTAATTAAATGAAATAAATTGGTTTTCTTGCCTTTGCCATACGAGGTTATTTCTATTTCTACCACCCTCTTATCGATGAGAAAAATGTGTGTCATTTTAAAGGATGTAAAGTTGTATCATTTTAAGAGAGAGAAAGAGATAGATACAGGAGGAGAGAAGGTTGACAAAAAAATAAAGGTGTGAGTCTATCTCTTTGTGAGAGTGAAATGATATAAGTTATGTCATTTAAAAGGATAAATATTTTTCCCTTCATCAATAGCCAAATACTTCTTAGATGGCCATACCTGGATGATAAGACAACAAATTTGAAAAAAAGGCATCATATATTTTTTAAGAGAGTTGTGAGCTTTCTTCTTCGTGGAGGTCATGGTGTGGTCGAAGGAAAAAACCCACAATTGTTGTTCTCTCTTTTGTTTGTGTCATTGCGACAGGCAATTCAATAGCAGACTCTCACATGCCATTATGACGTGTAGAGGTGTGTATGGAGCGGTTTATAATCGGTTTTGCCAAAAACTAAACCGAACCAGTTTTAAATGGTTTGGTTCTAAAATTGAATCAATTTTCTTTTTTTTAAATCAGTTTTTAATTTTCCAAATCAGTTTGAAACCGGTTCCAAAATCGATTTGAAACTGGTTCCAAAATCGGTTTGAAACCGGCTTCAAAATCGATTTGAAACTGGTTCCAAAATCGGTTTGAAACCGGCTTCAAAATCGGTTTATGGTTCATAACCGGTTTTGATTTAAAATCGATTTTAAACCGGTTTTAATTCAAAACCGGTTTTCAACCGGTTTTAATTCAAAATCGGTTTTAAATCAAAACCGGTTATGAATCATAAACCGGTTATTAAGAAGTTCAAAATCGGTTTTTGATGAATTGTGCTATTTTTATAAGTAATTGTTTGTTTCTCCCCGTTATAGGTAGTTGACCAACTATTTCTTGCAAGAGTCTTCATTGTTTTGGAACTCTCTGGACAAAATGATTTTTATAGAAATTGTTTCACGATGTTTTGAGAGTGATTGGTAGAAGAATAGTTGAATTATTTTAAATTATAAAAAAAAAATTGCTCTTTGTTCTCTCAAGATTTATGTTAATAAGAGTTTCATTTGAACTGATGGAGAAAGATATAGGTAGGGGTGTTCAAATATCCAAAAGAATCAAACCAATCCTAAACCAAATTGCTCCATAATTTAAAAATCGTTATTTTTAAAATGGTTTCATATGAAACTATATTTTATTTTATAAATTGGTTTTACTAAACCATAAAAATAATTGGTTATCCATGGTTATTCATAACCAAGCTGCTCTACAATTAAAGAACAAATAAATAAATTCGTTGTGAGTTTTCCTTTTAATGGCGCTGATTGATCATCTTAAACATCTCAGAGACGTTAAGCCAATTGATTAATTTCGTTGCTATTTTCGTTATGATTTTTTAGCTCATCTTTGTCTATTCAAAGCCTTCGCCTTGTCAAGTTGTGAGTTTATCTGGAGGTCTGTATGTAATTTTTTTGAGAAAAAAGTTGTTACGTTGCATAAGAAATGCTTTATGAGGATGAGAGCTTTCGATTTATGTATAATACTTTTTTAAATAAATATTTTCTACTTAAGCTGCTTAATTTTTCTGCTAATTTATTGTTTTGAAGTTCGAGTCAATTGACTAATATAATAGGTATGATAAAAGATAATACTTATTTGTTCTTTAATTGTACAACAGTTTGGTTATGGATAATCATGGATAACCAAATATTTTTATAGTTTGGTAAATAACCAATTTATAAAATAAAATGCAGTTTCATATGAAATCAATTTTTAAAAATAACCGGTTTTTAAAATATGGAGCAGTTTGGTTATGGATTGGTTTGGTTTTTTTGGACATTTTGAACATCCCTAATGACGTGCAGAGGTCGAATAGAACTAGATCTGCACTTACTCCATCTGAATCTCTGATTAATTATTATTTTTGTTTTTGGGAAAACTCTGATTAATTATTTTGCATCTAGCTATATACTGGTAATTTTTTGTTAGGAATATTCTTTTCAAGTTAAACTCGGTAATCTGCACTAAATCAACTCATATTTTTTAACAGTTGGTTTGATTTGGGTTTAAAAATGGAGAATGTCATATTTATTATTATTTTAGCCTTATCATTCTTACTATCTGTTTAATTATCATTGAATCAATTTAAAATTAACGGCTGTTAAATTTTTTTCTTTTTCAATCTGATAACAAAATAAGTAGTAAGAGTGGTAAAGCTAAAATGGTAATAGATATAACTGCCCCTTAAAAAAAGTTACAAAATCAAACTAAACCAAATTAATTTTGATTGGTTTATTTTCTTAAAACTGATTTAACCATTAACTTTTTTTTTTCTTTTACACAAGGAGGGATAAAGCTCAATGCCTAAGGGGTATAATGGATTAGGATTTTAAAAGATAATTTTTGAGATAAAAAATCTTATAAATTTAAAAGACTATTTAGAATTGGAGAAATTTTAAAGACTTTTTTTACAATCAAGATTTCATATGATTGGATTTTAAAGGATTTTAATAGAATTTATAAGATTTAAAAGGACAATATGGATTTATAAAATTTTAAGAAATCATACGAATTTTTAACAAATATTCAAAATTACAAGAGTCAATAGAAAAATAACAAAGAAATGCAATGATATTAATAAAAAAAATTAAAACCTAATATAATTTTCTCACTCAGTAAAACATAATACAATTTTTAACAAACATTTCAACTTTACTAAGCAACAGCTCTTCACATATCTAAAGCTATACTAGTCCTCCATGCATTAGCATTTTCTCGTTTATGCTCTTGGGTTTGAACAATGGATTGAAAATTATCTTTTTCATTTAGTATCAGAGCTATGCATATATGATTATAAGACCCAATTTTTTTATTTATTAAAATAATTTTAAATTTGCATATAGAACCTAAAGTTCATGATAAAATTTTGTTTGAAATTTTTTGTAATTGATCTTAGAAATCTTGGGATTTTTATTCTACGTGAAAAGAGTTTTCTAACCATATATCATATGCATGTTTTCATTGAGTATTCTAAGAAAATTTTAAATCTAAATTTTTGGGTTTTATTATATGAAAGTTTAGAAAATTTTACAAATTATTTCAATCGATACATTGAAACCTTAAATTGCATTAGGGTTTTTGAAAAGCAAGTTTTTAGTTATCTGTTGACAGAAAAATTGTTTGAAATCGTTTCCTATAACGAAGGAATTTCGTTCATGAATGTATTTTTACGAAATATAGAGTGTATATTGTGAAAGTTTCAATCTTTCTTTAAATTGATCTTGTTTCATTCATGTAAAACAAAAATTGATTTGAGGATTTTAGTTCCCCTATTGTTTTCCCATTGTTTAATGGTCTTTTTAATACAAAAATTATACCTTTTTGTGTCAAGAAAATCATGACCCATAGCTTGAAAAATTATTTTAAAACTTCAAAAAATTCTAAAAACTCCGTTGTTTTTAAAATGGATTATATTAGAATCTTGTTGGTTTGTTGTTTCTAGGTTGTTTTGTGATGAAAATTGCTCAAAAATCTGCTGTTTTTTAGCTTTGACGAAGCTTTTACGGCGAAACCAGGTTTCGAGCGGGTCCACCCGCCAAAAGAAGAAGACAATGCAATAGAGAAATATCAAGAAATCCTAGGGGGTTAGGGTGAGATTATGAGAGAGATATCCTATTTATATTTCTTACTGAAAAGTCTCATGAAATCCACACCAATAGAAAATCCATTAAAATTGTCAGATTTTCGAATATCATAATATTGTTTTTCTTTGTTTAAAATTCTAATTGAATATCAATAGATTTGGATGGACTCTAAAATAATCTTATAAAATTCTAATCGAATAAATACAACGTGCCTTATTTTCAATCCTTTAAAATCTTAATTGAATACCAATGCATTTTTTTGTCCAAAAATAATCCATTAAAATCTTTTGAAATCTGAATCCAATACACCCCCTTTAAGAAACTAAAGTATGACAAACTTGAAGTCACCTACAATCCTGCTGAAGCAAATTAGTAAGAGGAAGGAGTGATTCCTGAAATTTGATGTCTCTGTTTGGTTGATACTGCATGTTGAGCTAGCTAATAGGCACTTTTGTTTTTATCACTGATCACATGGTTAGTACGAATGGTCCAGGTGTTCTGCAAAAGGTGTCTTAACTCTTTGTTATTATACGCAATTCCTATTGCAGATGGTTAACGATACTAATTGCTAAGTATAGAAAGAGCAAGTATGGCATCACCTTCAACCACCAAGTTTTTATTTCTAGTTGCCAAGCAAGCTTCATACCATTGTATTTACCCCAAATTTCAGCATCCAAGGGGATACAATATCCAATATTGGCGGAGAAACCACCAAGCCATTCAATCTTCCCTTGCTTTTCGAAGAAGACCCCCATCTCCAACAATAGGGTTGTGT